AAAATTTCTACGAGCATAGCTAGTTAATAATAATAATAATAATAATAAAGTAGTAGCCGAGAATGTGCAAATGGAGCTGATGTGTGATACGACCATCTTGATTAACAAGCTCTTGGAGAGCAATCGTCCTGATATCACACATAAAAAAAGAACAGCCATGAACGAATCCTGATAGACGTTACGCTACCTTGGAATAATGGTAATGACAATATTAACCGTTTCCCTACAAGGAAACATTTGCCATCCACTGACCGATTAGTTAGTACTGCTTTCGGTTTGAATTTATAAAATCTTTCTCTTAAAACAATGTACGCGTTAAGCTCCCCACATTAAACGATCTTATGCCACATTCTACCATCGCCAGGAGTAGAATAAATAGCGAACCGCTATTTATTCTACTCCTGACGATGGTAGAATGTGGGAATTGTGAATGAGATAAAAGGACATGCTTGATCGAGGATGACAGGGAACCACATAACACATGTGACGGAGAATGACAAAATTAGGAAAACACCAGGACCTTTCTCCGAAGCCGAGAAAGGCATGCAGCATGAATTTTAGTGTAGTGCCCATCATAATAGGAGCACTTGGAACAGTACCAAAAACATGAGAATCGAAATGTCTTATTACATTATTGTTAAAAATTTGAGGAATTGTTGAGACTACGCAGATCACGAAGGATACTGCGGAAGTTGCTGGATATTTGAGGGGATTTGTTGTCACTTAATCTTCAACGATGACTACCTGTATTTTCATTTCACGACTTTGGAAACATCTTGGAAAAGTTCGCCATAGTCAAAATAAAAGACACTGTCACTTGGCGTCACCGGTGCAAGAGAGCCCTCTTCAGAAAAGCAAACAGCTACAGATATTACAGAAAAAAAAGAAGCACACCCGCCTAAGATATAGTAAGATAATCGTTATCATAATAATAATAATAATAATTAGTGGGACAATTGAGATGATCCCGAGGACCCTTGTGAAAAGATTGAAAGAATGAGAAATCCGTTAAGCTGAAAACCATATAACGTGACACTTTGCCTGTAAGGGCAGATAACTATTTTTCATCCGAACAACTTTACGACGAAAATCTGTCAAAATTTTGAGAAAATTGTCGTAAGAGACTTGCTATCAGGCAACAGCCACCAGAGAGTCACCATCAAATCAACTCTGACTTGAAGACACACTTCAAATCAATGTGATTTCGCATCTTCAGCTGCTCCTTTCTGAGAATACCCATCTGCTCAGGCACATTTGTGTTTCTTCAACAATCACTGAGCCAACTTGCGGTTTTTCCTGCAGCTATGACGACCGGACCTTAGTAACAATTCAAGTATATGTCTCATCTTGGCCACATACGGTTTTTCTATTCCTTCACCTGATTGTTAACCTCGACTAGTCCACTTTATCCAGCTATTTCACCTGTAGAGGACCGGGAGGGGGTGGGGCTGAAGATGAAAAGAAAACACGTGCGTTTATTTTTCCTGCTAGAATGTGTGTATAATGTTCATGGCGTCTTCCCACAAGTGGGAAACGCTATCTCCTAAGAGAGCTTACATTGCTAAAATGAAGAAATGAAAAAGAGGATTTACCTCACCTCCACGCGAGGTTGGATGCGGCACGAGGCCTGAAGGAAAGAGAACGAGGCAAGGAGTCGCCCAGTATTTATAATATAGGGAGAATGACCCCTAGTGACAGTTTGGGAATTAAGGAGGAGCTAACTCCGACAAACCCATAGCAGGAAGTAGAGTGAATAGATAGTCATATCTTTCTCAGGGGTATTTATGCTAAAGTGAATATAACGATCAAGATTGGAATTCGAACTCGGATTTCCGATATCTCGTTCTGATCTTCTAACCATTACACCCACTGAACATCAGATTGATGCAAAAATTCAATGAGTGCAATATAATAATAGCAACAACAACGGCGATGTATTGCGGAACTAGACATTCTCAAAATAAAATTTAACCCAGTAAACTCTTCCCGCTAAACAGAAATAACAGAGATTTTTCTTTTGTATTCTAGCTAACAACTAATATCCTCGAGACTGCCTCAGCGTGGGTTACTCTCTTTGTTTAACGAGACTAATCTGACTGACCTATTACTACTGAGTAATGAGTTCGATCCTTGCTTGGCGCCTAATATTTTGGGCCTTGTGCCAAACTAAGTTAATCTTAGTAAATAGCTGACATCTTTACCATTCGATTCAATTCTAATTCCCACTTCTATTTTTACTTACTCCTAAATATGCACACATATGTACACATTTTTCAATTGTTATTTCTGTGTTTTTTATCTAAGTATTAAACACACATAGGTACACGTGTGCACGCAAGCAAGCAAGCAAGCGCGCACACACACACACACACACACATATTACATATAAATTCAATTGAATAAAGGCAGTCTCAAACTCTATTGTCTGCCTCGTTTGGGATCTGCGTCTCTTCAAGATCAATAATGCTTTTCTTTGTGTAGGTTCTAAAGTAAACATTAACTGACCCAGGAAACCTGTTTCGTCTGGTCGTTTTAATTATTATTAACAAGTGCAAAAAATGAAAATAAAAATTTGAAAAAGAAATAAAGAACAAACAAAAGAAATAATAAAGAACAACTGTTGGATGTGGGGCCCCGTTTTTTTTTTTTTTTCATTCTTCTACTTACATGGCTCACCCCAACTCCCTGACATTCTTTTTTACTCTTCCTCTCTCATCTTTTTCACTATCACACACTCATTTCTTTTCATTCATTCTTTCTTTCCTTACTTCCATTTCCTATCTTCACCACCACCACTTTTTTTTACCTTTCGCTTTTTACTGTCATTATTAGTCATCAGCGTTGTTGAGGGGATATTTTGTCTATGTGTGCGTATATTTTTCTTTCTCTCTCTGCATTGTGTGCATGTGCGTTTGTGTTTGTATGTGTGCGCTATGCAATTACGTGATGGGTGTCGAAAATTTCTCGGGCCAGCCAAGAAGCCTTTTCCAAACAAACAAAAAAATTTTTTTTTTAATTTATTTTTGATAAAATTTTCGGAAGTAGTTAGGGCTAAGTACTTATCAGCATCCGTCCTCCGTCTTCGCATGCATTAGTTGAAATTTATATATCCGTCACCTTAGACGAATATATTAACTCAATTTGTATCTGAAAGTTTCACAGTATAATGAGTTAGAAATACGACATTTAAGTTCGTTGACAAGAGCGGAAATTATGTTTTAAAATATTTATTTGTATAATATATATATATATATATATATATATATATATATATATATATATACAGGGTGTCCATAAAGTTCGTGTGTACTTTAAAAAATTTATAACTTTATTTGTATTTGCGATAGAAATAATCTGTAAAAAATGTTATAAAGTTTAATGTACCTAGTTTTAAGTATAGCTAAAATAGCTAATGTGATTTCAGGCATTACTGTAAATCAGTTGGCAAATGTTTTCCGTGAACTGCAAAATCGTATTACCCTGTATTGCTAATGATGGAGGACATGTGGAAACTTAAATAAAATTTCAATAAAACCTTAAAAAATATAGATTTACTTCTTTCTAATCCTTTTTACAAATTATTTCTACCGGAAATACAAATAAAGTTATACAATTTTTAAAGTGCACACGAACTTTATGGACACTCTGTATTGGGTTGTCCGGAAAGATCATGCCGATTTTTAGTCGTTCATGTTCCAATACGTTAGAACACATCAAATTTATCGACAGATATAATATTCTTACATTTCCGATTAGAACAGACTTCAAAATATCTCTAGAGAAAGAAAGTTTAAAATTACTTAATTCGTGTCAATTTTACATCACTATGAAAATGGAAGATGCATTTTAGACATTTGATGCTTTTTTTTTATTACCGTAAAGGAAAAAAAAAAAAAAAAAAAAAAAAATGCCTCGCAAGCGACAAAAAAAAATATGTGCTGTGTACGTGTGAAAGTGCTTTAGCTGACAGAACTGTACGGAAGGGGTTCGCTAAGTTTACAATTGGTAATTGTAGCTTTATTGATGAAGAACGCTCAGGCAGACCTCCACTAAAGATCACGACTAAATCAAGACATTTATTTAGAATAACTCGCATTACACAACGCGGGAATTGACAGAAACACTAAATTTATCAAAATCTATTATCTATGAGCACTTAGTGAAGCTTGGGTACTCAAATCGCTACGATGTTTGGCTACCATGTGATCTAAGTGAAAAGAATCCTTTGGGTTGCGTTTCATCTGTGGTTTGCTGTACAAACACAATGAAAATGCACGCTTTTTGATGCAAATTATGACGGATGATGAGAAATGGATCGTTTACAATAATGTTCGGTGGATAAGATTCTGGGGTAAGCGACATGAGCCAATTTTAATTATTCCAAAAGCAGGTCTTCAGCCTAAGAAAGTCATGCTCTGCATTTGGTGAGACTGGAAAGGAATCCTGTACTATGAGCTTCTGTTAAGTAACCAGTCAAATGATTCTGAAAAATACGGTTCTTCTTTTTTAAGCATTTCACCCCAAGCAAGGGGGGAAGCCACTAGGATGCAAGGGGTTACAGAAAGTTTAGAGCAAGATCAGATAGGAGTGATAGAAGAAAGGATGAGGGTAGTGGATAGATCAAGGCAATTGGAGATGTCGATTGACATTACACTTGAATAGCTGGAGATTATAGCTCACAGGGAAACAGGAAAATGGAAGGGAGTTTCACAGGCGAGAGGTGTGAGACATGAAGCTATTAGAGTAGAAGAGACGGCTACATTTAGGAGTTTCGACAGTGAAGGGCTGAGAGCGGGATGCCAGCCTCGTAAGGCGCTGGAACTCATGACGTCTGGGAACCAGCTCCTCGGAACAATTTCCATGAAGGTATTTGTAGAACAGACAGAGGGAGGCGACGGCGCGTCTGTGAAAAAGTGACTGTAGACGAAACGCCAGGGCAGGGCCAACTACATTGCATATCCGCCTCTGGAGCCTATCAAGAACCTCGAGGCAAACAGAAT